TAATCTTTATTTGCAAGTATCGCAATTTTTCAAACAACTTCCATAAGAATGCTAATCAACTCCTTGTGTAATGTGTATAGAAAAAGAACATAATTATGTTACATCACATATATAAACAATTACAGCTGAAATACAGCCTTGAGTAAATACAATTATAGCTTTTTGAAACAGTGGAAGGATTGACTGCCAGTGGCTCTTGAATCAAATGTAAAATGAATTAAAATCAAACTGTCAATTTGAAAACTACAGCCATTGAACATTCTGAGTTCATATAACAGCAAAATACAAAGATAAATAGTATTTGCTATGCTGACAATATTCCCGTGGCGGAGCACTAGTTAATTAATTATTTGCAACTTATAACTGATGTACATTATAATAAATTATTTTTATCATCCTCTCTGGTAAAACAACTTGAGAGTTAGCAGAAATCGTAAATCTACCTCACAAAAATAAAACTAAGTCAACATCATAGTGTATTTTCAACTGTGTAACTTAGTTACTGACTAAGACCAGCTGTTTATGGCGTAGGGGTTGGCGATCCCATCGCCCGGTGGCTTGCCCATCGCAACCAGCCTCCCTGTCTCCCTACTCTTCATCTGAGCAGGGGCTGTACCATTAATCCATATTTCTTCAGCTTCCTAACACGTGGATTAACTGTATTCCACCTATCCATCTCCTCTTAACCTACATTTCTGCTCCCTTTCCCCAAGTTTTGTCACAGACCACCAACCTAAGATATCATGTGGACCGTGCTAAAGGGGTGGATGGCACCAGGAGGATTTTTGAGTGTCTGAAATGATACCTGCAGGTGTGGGATACCAGATGACCTCACTGCAGAGCCTATGGTTTCCTAGACACGTAATAGATGCGCTGCACTTTTCATCCAGGTCTCAAAACGCAGACGCCGTCAGTGGTTTCCTAGACTGCGTATATAATACATACGGTTGGTGCATAACGTAAGTTCACAGGAGAGATTACTTGCGGTTGCTATAATGTTATACGATGATTTAGATAAGCACAAGGGTATTTTGGTACTACAAGCTTCGAAGATGCGTAAGCAGTGCAGTATATCTGTACATGATTAACCCTTGAGCGGGCACTTGTGGAGTTTTCCTCCGCACTTGTAGTTTTGGTTAATATAAATATGCATAATGGGTGTCTGCAGTTGTGTCCGGCTCTCCAATTCACGCATCCCATCCTGGTAATGCCTCTAAGCTATTTTTACTCCCGAATTCCTCCTCATTTTGTTGTCAGTTGCAATTCACTGACGCGGTGTGAGTTTTCGGAGGTTTACTCCGTGTGCGCCCTATCACGTAGGTCCTTAGCGCAGAGTTCATTTCCTCATGCGCTATTGTCAAACTGTGTGTATATTTTATACATACAAAATTATAAACATGTTTAAATGTATTATTTCATTTATGATTACTATCAAATATATTTTGTTTGCGTGTATATGTATAATTGCATTATTGCGGAACAAAACTCCGCACGTGCCCTCTCTCGTAACACCCACTTTATACTAGAAAATTACTCAATATGATAATTTGAAATATTACTCATATAAAATTATACAAATAATGTTATTAACAATGAAATTAGGTTTCTGATTAGGTTATTCAACATTTACATATAATATTTCATTATAACAACAAGTAAAATGCGTAAAAATTATGCTATTTAGTGTTGCGGAATAAACCTCCGCATGCGCCCGCTCCTGTTTTACTCGAGGGTTAAGAACTGTATGTGGCCCTCACGGATGATTTAACTATAGTATTAATGCAAACACGTTTATTTAAAAAGTAAACAATAAATCTTAATTAAATCTCTCTAACTTTGCTTTTACTGTTAACTGTTATTAAACTTACCTACTCGGGATTTACCCAATCGATGAAAATAGTCATATTCATATTCAAACATCTTTATTCGTCATAAATCATGTACATTGGTGGTACAGTGAATAGTGTCAGAATTCTTATTCTGATAATAATATACTATATTACTGAGAATAATAAAATACTATTATTCCTGTTTATGGTAGGAGGAAAACTCACCAAAAGAATAGAATGCTAACTTTATTATATGCTCTTTTAAAATGTTCTTGAATTTAGATAGGTTTGTTTCTTTTTTTATGAGTTTAGAGACAAATTTTAGAAAATCGTTACCAGCGTATGAGGAAAAAAACATAAATCTATAGAGTGACGTCACTAACAGGTGATTAGTTGAGTGACAGTTGGGATAGAGACAAAAGTGTTATATAGTAGTGGGCGATAAGTCTGATGGATGGTTACATGGTAATTAAACTACTCCAGCTTTAAAATGTTGTCTTGTTAACTTTTTTATTCCATCAAAGTTGGTTTTTCTCCCATGAGGTTAATATTAAGGAATCTATTTATTTAATTGGAAACATTGTCTCCAATAATTTGAGAAAACTGCTTGGCTTAGAAGCTTGGTAGGGATGCCCAAAGAAAGGTCTCGGTCTGTAGATAAGCCATCTAAAGAAAAACAAAGTAAATTAATTCCCTCGGGGCTCTGCCCCAGTGACCTTTAAAGTCCACTCCCCAGATGTGTTTACATTATGGCCATATTCATAATTTTCACTACATTTTAATAAAACAGCTGTTAATATTCAAATTGTATTTTAAACATCACACATAGTTCGGCCGCTTAGAAAACGACCTGCGCGCTAATGCTAAACCAATGCTGGAGGAGGTCGCTTTCTAAGCGGCCGAACTATAATAAGGAGTTACTGAATTAGTCAAAAAGAAGTACAGTATTTGCTATGTTATTTTCTAATTTTTAAATTTATTTTCTTCTGCATCATGTCATGTTTTGCAATAAAACGTACCATTACGAAATCAGTGGAAAATCTCAATACAGTATCACACTTAGTCTTAAAATTATTTCTTTTTGAAATTATCATATATCTATATCTATTCTGCGGGTTTGGTGTCTGCCTTTTTGACAAATGTTGCTTATATTTGATCATATTATTCAAGACAGATCATCATAAGTTCATGAGATTATTGTCATACATGTTTTCAATCATTGGAAACATATTCGGTTGTGTAATACAATACAAAATAATACAAGTGCAGAAGAGCACATTGCCCATATGAGCTGAGTCCATATTTTGTTAAATCAATAGTGCACCTGAATAAAACTTTTAATAATTATTGAGTAGAAATAATATGTACGCGATTTAGAAAGTCTTTAAGCTAGAATACGTACTGTGTATTTCCATGTCCCGTTGAAAGAGGTAGCCTACAAATGTACCCCATTTCGTTGCACAATCGCGGTTTCAAGTACACAAAAATTTGGGTTGGTTATATTAGTTTGAACGTTTGAAGAAGCAAAACCGCCAAAATACACACAAAATAGGGGTAAGTTGTGTAATCTAAATGTTAATACAAATTTCATTTATTTATTCCTCTAACATAAGTCATAAGTATTTTATTGCATTAAACATTCTTCATTACAAAGGCAATACATTCATAGTTAACATACATTTCTATTATTTGATATTGGTTTTTATAAGTAGGGATTGAGGTTTAGTTAAGGGGTTTAGGATAGACAGAGATTTTGTGTTTTAAGTTATTCTTAACTCATTTTTCAGTAGTCTGGTAAAAGTCTCAGAAGTTTAATCACGAAAGGCCACTATACTATACATCAAGGGAGATGTACTACAGGGGCAACCTTGTTAAGTAATTAGAAACTCCTCCCCTCACCCAAAACAGCATAATTTTAATTGTGGGCATAACTCCTAAACAAAATTCACTAACTTTTCCAGATTTCCTGTTAGAAAACCTGGTTTTCCCAGTCGTGATTACTAGTCACCCAGTGTATCTTTTACTAGTTTTCTGCGAGTACTCCATATTTTTGGATCTGGTCGGCCCTCGGACCAACGGTTTGCACGAGAGGTCTGTACGGACTGAAAATAATTATCAGGTCAAACTTGGATCAAGTCGAGCCGAGCGTAAATTTCTGTGACCGCTGAAAGCGTTTATGAAGATACACGTTTGAAAATTAATGATTTTACCCTGATCGTGGGGGACGATGATGTCACATAAATAATGTCCAAGATTTTTTCTTAACCTCAAGAGTTGTGAATGATTTTGCTAAGTCCATGTATGAAGTTCTCAATTTTGCCATGACGGCAGAAGATGTTTTCGATTTTGTAATGATCGTATACAATGATCTTGATTATACTGTGACGGTGGAAGATGTTTACAGTTTCGCCGAGATCACAGATTATGCTCTTTATTTTGCCGTGACTAAAAAAGATGTTTCAATTTTTCTGCGACCATGAAAAAAGTTGATAGTTAAACCCAATTGATAGTATTAGCAGATGTTCTTGATTTTGCCATTACCGTGGAAGATGTTCTTGATTTTGCCGTGACCTTGAGAGGTGTTAACGATTTTGCCGTGACCACGGATGACAATCACAATTTTAACGAGACTGCAGACTAAAACGGGTTTCCCCAGTGCAAATTTAAAATTCCCGTATAGTTCCAGATTCAACATGAATTTACACAAACTTCCTCAAACTCTCGGTCCGTATGGTCACCCTGGTGAGGTCTCTTGGGGGGGCGGGCTCCTCGCCCATATCGATGGAGGCGCATGCGTAATAGGAGGGTCAAATATTGTAAAGAGGAAGTGTTTGGCAATGTTGTGTGAGTAGGCTGGTAGTGTTTAAAGCCAATTATTTTGCCCAAGAGGTACCAGGATCGAAGTTTTGTAAAAATGTAAAAAACTCCTGGCGCCATCACCTTGTAACGGTACGTATTTTTGGAATACTACTGTTACTTTGGGTGACGTAGCTCAGGAATGAAACTCAGCACTCGCTTACAAAACCCAACTTTATTAATTACTCAAAACAACACAAAGAACACAAAGATTAACTACCATAACAATCAAAAAGGTAGAGTAGACTGGAACTGTATAAATAATTTAATTAGAAACTGAAACCCCAATTTTGAAAACCCTTAACATTTTCTTACCTGGACCCAAGGCCAAGGGCCTTGGGCTCCAGCTCCCTCAGCAGGACCCTGTCCTCCGGTGCACCACACAACACTCCACACCAAAACTGACCCCTTTATCAAGTGCCCTGCCCTACTTAAAGCAACAGCCTTCAGTAGGTCAGCACAACAAGTTATTGTTTAACAACACTACCAGCCTACTCACACAACATTGCCAAACACTTCCTCTTTACAATATTTGACCCTCCTATTACACATGAATACATTAAATGGTAAGTTTAAATAAACTCTTTAAGTATGGTTTTGCATGATTAAACTTCTAAGATTCTTGCCAGGGGTGGTAAGGAGGGATAAGTGGGCTTTGGCCCATAAAAAATTCAAAACTCATAAACCGCAATGGACATTTGATAAAATTCAAAATTTTGTTTACAGTTTTGATACCAGGATTTATTTTTTTACCTACTAAGTAGTAATAAAACATTTGTTTTACTTTGCGTAATCTTGAAGCAGACAATGTTGTTTCTGTTGAACTACTTGGAATATCCATAGACTCTAAACTCACTTGGGAAATACATACCAATAATATCATTTCAAAATTGTCGAGTATGTTGTTTGTTAAGAAAACTTAAAAATTGTGTTTCTAAACCAACACTTTTAATTGTTTCTGTACCACAGTTTATTTCACTCACACTTGCTGTATGGCTATATACTGTGGGGTAATATAAAATGAGGTTACTGACCTGTCGTCAATCAGTCCCCTATTGTCTTCGATAACAATAGTTTTGGGGTTAAAACCCCATTTTCAAATCTTCTCTTCAGTCGTCAAATGTCAAACATATTCTCTTGCAAAAGCCATCGTCAAAATTGTTTCACACATACACATAAACAAACACAAAAACATTTATAATTACAAATCATGTACATGCGCATGAGGCCGGCCAAGGACAAAACCAGACTGTGGGGTTTGCTAAGAGTGTGTGAAACCCCGCAGTCTGGTTTTGTCCTTGGCCAGCCTCACGCGCATGTACCGGTACATGATTTGTAATGTTTTCGTGTGTGTTTATGTGTATATGTGAAAAAACCTCGTTTCTCTTTTGATGGCTCATCTACAGACCATAATACCTTTCTTTAGAGACCCCTACCAAGTTTCTATGCCCAGCCGTTCTCTGAAATTAGCTGTGACAAAAACCCGTTTTTCCTCCATAACATGGGATGGGAATTTAAAGGCCAAGGGAATTTACCATGTTTCTCTTTTGATGGCTCATCTACTGACCAAACCCTTTCTTTAGACACCTCTACCGAGTTTCTACGCCCAGCAGTTCTCTCAAATTAGCTGTCACAAAGAAAAACAGTTTCAAATTAATATATAGATTCATTTGTATAGGTCACAATTATGAGATTGGCTTACAAGTTGTGCTTTTTATTCAGTCGAGGAGTTTTTGCAGAATGTTGATTTTTCAACTCTTAAATGTGAGGCCAAGCAGTCTTGATGATTCTTTGTTCTTGTTAAGTTTTTTCCCAGTTAATTTCAAAGTTTTTTATTATTATTGATGCTTTATCCTTTCAAGATTCATTTAACTTTATTTTAACATTTTCTGTAGCCTATTTAATATTTTATATAATGACAAAACATGTTGACCTTGTCCATTGTAATTTTTATATTACCAAATGACAATAAAGATTTATTTATGTTATAAATATATGCATTAAGCTTGTGTTACGGCCCTGCCATAGTACGGTAATGTTGTGGTAGAAACGGGAGGCCCTCCAACCCAACATGGCCGAGGGAGCCCTGGTGGTAGAGAGAGGAGGTAGATAATTGTGTCTGGACCTCCTCTCTCTATCTTAGTTGTCCTTTACCCAAAGTATACCTTAAACCTTTTTCCAACCCACTGGCCTGGCTTCCTTACTATCTTCCCATCATCCAGCTGGCTGTTATCAATGCATCATCAGAGAGGAAGAGCTGTATTCTACTATGTAAGTATCTATTCAAGGAATAACAGTCATAGGGAGTAGAACCTTATAGTGTAAGCTAGAAAGTACACTAAATATAGTGGAGCCACAACACGTTACATGAACATTATTAGATCTTGAAGGAGACAAAAAAAGGCTGTATTTTACAAGGAAGTTGTTTGATTGCTATGGGAAGATTTGTTATGTTAGGATCTAAACCTTTCTAAGTCCAAAATGTGTAATACCCGCACTTAACACTTACGGCTGAATTGAACCACAATTGCATATTTTAGAGCTCAATGAGAGTAAACCCATAGAAAAAATGTTGAGCGAATAAGGTTTTAAGTTAAATATCCTAACTATATTTTTAACTGCTATTTAGTGAAAATACACAGATAACTGTCTCTTTAGGATTTGGAAGAAGCTACAAAGACTGGCTTTTTACACACATATTACTGTTTTAAGAATTATATTATTGATCATTGACAAACTATGTTAACCAATTCTACAACTTAAAACAGGTTGCACTGTCTAAAATAGGTAATTAGAAGTAAGTTTCGGTCAAGTTGGTATACCATTTAAGAATTCTTTGATACTGTTTCAGATCTTTTAATGAGTGTCAACTTTAGCAAGAATCTACTTAAGCGAGAGTCTACATTAGTGAGATGATTGCAAACCGATAGTACAAAGTCTGGCCTTTCTTTGAACTTCCTTTGCAAACATGTTGTCATCAGCAGGCGTGTCTTCTGTAATTCTAAGGTAATTTTTTGCACTTCTTGTAAGTAGCTGAATGTTTAAATCATTTATGTTTACAATAAGTAACAGTTAAAATAGAAGATATTTTAACAATGTAAATCCATAGGTTTGTAGATAGATTTACTTGAGTGACAGAACCAAATGATAATTTTGGTCAGATATAAGACCGCACGCGGACATCGGTTTGCGCTATGTTTTGATGAGGTATTTGGTATTAATGAGATAATTAGCCGAGCAACATTTAAGTTACCAGTAGTTGCAATGAAATTCTCTATACCATACTATACTATATCTCTATACTGCATACAATTTACACAGTGTGTAAATTAAGTCTTGAAACAAATCTGTAGTTTTAAAACCAAATTAGATAGAAGTTTTCTGTTTGTGGCAATAATTATTGTTAACAAAGGTTTGGCCGTTTCTACAGACGCTAGACAAAATCATACTTCATGAGGGTACGTTGATCACTTTTCCATGAATAAGTAAAATACTCAAGTAAAAACCATGCAATGTTGATTAAATTCGGTACAAAATGTGTAAACAACCAACAACCTAAACTTACATTTATTCGGATGAGTTCTCAAACCAGCATGATTGGACGGTGGGAACGGGGATTTACTGGGATTTCTAATTATGGGGTCAAAATTGGTTCTTCCTATTTCTGCCCCCCAAAACATAAATGTTTTTTCTACAATATTTTTAGAGCTTAAACAACATGAATTTAATAATATGTTGAGGCAATTGTTGTGGGCCTATATGGTTAAAGGGAAATAAAAAAAACTGTAAATTAAAAATTATAATGTTATACCTATGGAGTCTGATAAACTAATTTAGTTTACTTATTTAAAGTCATAACTTATTGATCAAATTCAAATTTATTGTTTTTTTTTTATTTAATGCTAAATAAAATTAAAATTAAAACACACTTTATTTCCTTCACTTAGAAATTAACCTGACATCAAATTTTAAAAGAACAGGGTATTTCACTAAATACCCTGTTCTTTTCAAATTGGATGTCAGGTTAATTTCAAAGTGAAGGAAATAAAGTGTCACTACAATCCAACCAGATAAATGCAATTTTGCGTACCCGTGTAGGGTGGAAGTTTGCTCCAAGGGTATTTTATTTTTCTTAAAAATTCAATTGAGTTTAATTCAATCACCTGTGTGGTAGGATAATTTTGATAACTTTCTTGAAATGTGAATTCATCTTTGCATGTATCACTGTAAGTATCTGCACAATCAGCATGAAAAAAATATGTACTGTATCTTGTCTCATGTATCTATAACGATGTAAAATTATTGTAAAAAATTTGTTTTGGGTCAAAATAAATAAATTCATTTTAAGGAGTTGAAGTCCTTAGTACTTATACTTTTTAAACTTAAGAATTATGCATTATAGCTATTTTACTTTTGGGTTTTAGCATTGACTATGTTGTATTAATAGTCAAAGGTTTTAGTCAACAAACTACGCATAACTAAAATACTGAATAAATAAACAAGATGTAGTGTGAAAACTTGTACCTTAAACATCATCTTGCTTGACCTCTTGTTCTATTCAGCAACTGCTGGTCAAAGATGAAGAAAAGAGGTATGAAGTATGAAGTATTCAACTGTAGGCCTATATAGCTTACTCCATGAAAAAGGCTTGTCTACCACAGTAATAGTGGTTGTGCTTTTTAATCTCTGAAGAATTGGCACACCCTATTGGCCAAACAGAATATATTGAAGGTATAAAGTAAAATTACCCCTTTAACATCAATGCTGCCATTTTTATATTTAGGAGTTTGTTTGTCCTTCTGATCTGCTATCAATACATCAGATTAACCTTATCCATTTAGTACAAACCATTTAGTGTTGGAACATGTCAATTCAGCACTTGTAGTTCACCTTTATGGGATGGCCGGGGGAAGAATTAATTAATAAACACAGTAGATTTATAAATAAAATTGCTATTTTACAGTTTATATTTCTTATATAATTGTTCCTTAACCTACAATAACATATTGAGCTCTAAATTTGGATTGTTTTACAGTACTGTATTATATAATACAGCCATTCACACAAAATTTAACTGATATAATTTGTTTACAAATCAAAATAAAATAATATTTTAACTTAACCATAGCCTCTTCTAATATACACTGGATGATTTTACCAAGTCCATATCAAAAAATTTTTTTTTTACTTTAAATGTCAAAGTCAGTTAAATTTAGCCTATAGTGATCAAAATTGGTATCTGAATAAAATACAGTAAGTAGGAAGTTGTTGAACCAATATGTATCAAAAGTAAAATAAAGTGTCACGAAAAAAATTGATTAACATATTAAATACAATATTAAATTTTAGTACAACATACATACAACCATTCATAAATTCATATAAACACATACAAGTTCTACAGTCTGACTTCAAAATCCTAAAAACAGTAAAAAAATCTAGTGTTAAAATTCATACAAGTATTCCTTTAGTATCTCCAACACGCAAAATGCTAATCAAGAAGTTTTGTAAATATTTGTACCTGAGATAATATTAAATTTCATTACATCCTTTATTCACAATACTTCGGGTTTCTGGTTGTTACATCAATTCACTTAAAAACCACAATAAAAACAATAAATTAAATATTTACATTTACATAAGAATTAATTGTACTATTTTAAAGTCAATTTTGCATACCTTAAAACTACATATTTACAGCCATAAATAGTTGAACATATTATATACACTCTAGAAAGATCTAGCTCTGTGTCTCAAAAACATGTTTTCCTCCAAAGTTTTATTCACTTCACTTTCAGTGCTTCTCTTCCGTCTACCCAGGACCATGGGAAGCAGCATGGCCATGGTGGCTGGGATCATTCCTGCACCAATGGCTGCCAAAACAGCGGTTTTGCTCTGCATGGAGCTCGGCGAAGCAGAGAAAACTTTGATCTCGTCTACGGAGCGACGACTAGCCACTGGTGCGGACGTGGTAGCTTTGACCTGTAAATTGACAGATGATGGTATTGAAAACTGAAAGAATGGATACTAAAGGGATCCAGGAATTGCTGGAACACAAGTTTTTAATTTAACTTTACTGTGTTGTGTGCTGTCAACTGCCTGAAAATTTTCTTGGGTAAGTTTGTAGCTAGTTATACTGTATCAAATTTTGGCTTCAATGCATCACTAAAGTGCTCTTTCCTCCAAAAACTAATGTTATTGAAAGTTGTTGTTTTAAAAAGATGAGGTGGATCCAAAGATCTATGGGAGGTTCGGAAAGAGGAACTTGATAAGGACTTATTTTGTCCTTTTATTATCTTTACAATGATTTTTTTGTGGCCAAGAACACCACTTAAAAATCCTTGGAGCTGCTCAAGAGTTATTCACTGTTCAAAAATATTTTTTCAAACACCAAAGTGATTATAATTTAAATATCTAGTATACTGTGAGATTAAAAATGTTCTTTTTGAATTGTTCTTCAAAGAAGTCCATGGAAGCTAATGGCCATCTTGGATTTGCCCACCATAAGAGTAATGTTAATTTTGTTAATTTCAAACAGCCGCTGAAGAGTGTTATTCACCATCTCAAAATATTTTTTCAAACTCCAGTAGAGTGATTGTAATTTAAATATCTAGTAACTTATACTGTGAGATTAGAAATGTTCTTTTTGAATTGTTCTTCAAAGGAGTCCATGGAAGCCAATGGCCATCTTGGATTTGCCCGCCATAAGAGTAATGTTAATTTTGTTAATTTCAAACAGCCGCTGAAGAGTGTTATTCACCAATTTCAAACTCCAGTAGAGTGATTGTAATTTAAATATCTAGTAACTTATACTGTGAGATTAAAAATTGTCTTTGTATTTCTTTAATTGTTTTACGAGTTAGAATGTCTAGGCTCCAAGGACTCTTAAGTGCATATATTTTGCTGAATATGAATGCAAAAGTACTGAAACTTAGTCAGTAACAAAGCTGCACAGATCATTTCTCTCCATTCTACGGCGAACATACGTACTGTACATAAGTGGTGGTGGCGTCCATATCTCAATGATTCATAATTGAAAAAATTGGATTTGAATAATTTATGTATACTAGAAGAAGTTGAAGATAGATAAGGATACATAGGAAACTTTAAAAACGTCACAAACCAAAAAGCTTCTATTGCCAAAAAGTGATGAAAGATAATCTTAATAGTTTACCTGTTCAGGCGAAAGTGTTTTGAGTTTGAGCATCTTAGCAGCGTGTTCCCTCTGCGCCTCCTCCACTGTTTGTAGCGTGCTCTCCACCTCCAACAGTCCTCCGTGGGATAATGTGGTGTTGGTTGAGTTATCAGCTGGTAGCACTGTCAGTCGCACAGTCCGATGCGATGACATTGAGGCTGACAACATAACAAGCAAGTGTAATGAAATATGAAATATTAAGTTTAAGGGTTAGAATATTGTAGGCTTTTTTATTTATATATTACTTTGTTTGGTAAATATAAATAGCTAGTGTCCCTGTTGCTCGAATTTGAGCAATCGCTAAGTATTACAGGCATTATTTTAAAACAAATTTCAACCAAGTCAGCAAATGTTTGTAGCAAACTGTTAATTTAGCAAACTTATTGGCTGTTTACAATTAACATATGCTCTTCTTCTTACTTTTGATTTCTGACAACAGCTGGAGTTTCATAAAAATTTTTGTTTCCAATGTTATAATCTTATGGAGAAATACAAAACTTTAAAGGGCTCCAAGGGCCTCACTCTCTCATTATTTCCTTAAAAAGAAAGTTTCCTGCACAACTTCACGTTACGCTCTTTCCAATGACACCAAAAAAATGACAATTGGTTCAGTAGTTCCGTCACAAAAAATCTGCTTGCGTATTAATTAAATAAGTATAGATAACATAGATTGTCTAGGACCTAGGTAGCAAAGTCCTCACAGTGCTGAATCTGAAGGTTTGATTCCCAATAAGTTCTTCACCAGACACAGATGCCTTTTCTCATTTAGCTAATCAATTAATGATGGTATGTAACAAAAGGTAGATATTGACAAGACTAGAGCTTGAACCATTCCCTTCAAAATGTATAAAATGCCAACAGCATAGAGAAACGCAATTAAAATAAATAAAATATTTTTATGTGTTTTTCAACCCATTGTTTTACATTTTTTGGACAGTTAAAGTCTTGTTCTTGTTACGATCAGGAAAAAAATAGATTCTCATGTAGATTACTCACACAATACACTTGCACAAATTAATAAGGTCTTGTTACTGATGAAGACAAAAAAGTACATTGTAAATTTAAAATTTGAAAGAAATTTGGGTTTGGACCACGCAAAACATGTTTTAGAAAAAATTGTTCAAAGATCTTCTTTCCAAAGTCAAAACCATAATATCGTTTGCTCCCTCAAAAAATGTTTCTGTGTACGCTCCTGTTCCCAACAATTTGATTTGTCTGTTTCCAAATATCTTTTAACTATTTTTCAATTACTAATGGTCTTGATGAACCCAAAATAAAATAAAAACCTCAGAGTGATCTTACCCGTTGGTGCTTTAGCATCAAATGTGAGGGCTCGCTGATAGCCGCCCCTGTTGCGATGAGGTAGAGAGTAGCCCTTAGTGCTAGAGAGAAGCACCCATTGTCCATCTCCTTCAGCTGGATGGGTCGGGGGATGGTGAGGATATGGAGCGTGAACAGGCCTTTGCTCATACACCTACAGCATTAGCAGAGTATTACATAATGGCATTGAATATTGATAGTATTAGGCCAAAACAGATTAATTTGGTTCATCATATAGGCAAATCTCAATTGTAGTTTCTGCTTATTTTGATAAAGATATTATATGAGGCTTTGGTAATCATCTTCTAACAAGGCTGATGTAATGATATGTGGCAAAATCACAACAGCTGGCCTATTGCCATGGTAATAAAAGTAATCATAAATAAGACAGTAAATATAAACGCTGTGCAGACACTCCATTGTGAATTAGTGCTACAACTATATAGGCCGGGACTGCTTTATTGGGACTCTCTTGTCTCATCAGCCTTGTACTCAATGAAATAATAAGGCCATGTTTTGGTTAATGTATTTGCAATCAGCTGTGCGAACTAAACTAATAACTTTATTGTTAAGTAAACATAGCAAAATCCATAGTAAGAATCAAAAGTTAAATTCAGGAAGAGTAAACAACCAATTAAGTCCTGTCAAAGTGTCAAAATTAACGTATATAGCAGCTGGTGCATATTCAACATTTTAGATGTGATTAAATACAATCCTTTCATTAATATTCATGCTCTGAGAGTATAAGAAAAAAGTAATACTTTTTTAGGAAGTTTCACATTAAGAACTTCAAGTATGCAGTTGATAGGTGTGTGGCACTACTGATTACTCAACTGTTTTTTAGTTCCTTATTTAAAAAAATCTAATCTAATCTACTATTTAGAGCATAATTTATGGTTACCTGAGATGGTCGGTTAGAGCTGTAAGGTTCCTGGTCGAACCAAGGACGCTGACTAGGATGTGTGCCTGGAAAGTAGCCGGGGCGATTGTCTGTGATGATATCAGGATTGCCACCCCACCCAGGGGTCGGTCTTTCAGGGAAATCGTTAGGTCTAGACCACTCATTCCACTGTGGTCTTGAGGGTTTATACTCGTAGGAAGGTTTATTCCAAGGCCTTTCTGTGGAGTAGTCATGAGATGGAGGAGGACCTTGGGCGTCCCAGTGGCTAGATGGTCGATGATGAGGCGGCTCCCACGAAGGTATCTGAGGCTTAGCGTTCGGCTCCCATTTCTGAATCTGACTCTGAGCCCAAGGCACTGGCTCCAACGTCACCCAACCCTTGTGGTCATCATACGGATGATTATGTTTCTGCGCTTGCAGCAAATGCCACGATGCAGATTTAGACTTGTCTTGTTCATTATTGTCATTACTGTAATGTGTATCCTTATTACTTTTTGGATTCGACTCCAACACGTTGATAACAGCTTCTTCATCGTCCATGTACAGATTTGCTAGTTTGTTGGAAGCATCCATTGGTGTTTTGTGACTCTCAGCATATTGTGAGAGGAATTTCTCCAGTTCTTCTTGAGAGTAAGGTTTGAAAGTCGGTGTGTCCAGTCCATGTGCTTCCAAACAAGCCTTGTCGTCCCCACAGTCTATGGCATAAGGTGATTTTGGTTCTGTCAGGTTTTCCTCCGAGTCCTCTACTCGTACGTAAACATTTTTCTTTACAGAGGTTTCTGTGGAATCGTTCTGTGGAGCGCTTGTGACATTGTAAGCTTTGCTTTGAATTACGATCGTATTCTCCTGTGACTGCCCATGTGATCTTGCGGTGAACGTTCCTGAAGTATCTGACAAATGAGATGGGAATTGCAAAGAGAAACAAGTCGTAATTTTGAGTACAGCCACAAGAACGGCAGAAGTAAGCATTTTACTCTTTAAATTTCTGGCTTCTTTGTAATTGACGTCATGCTAGGCTGGCTTCCAGAATCCTGAAACAGAACGCACTGGATTCAAATAAAATCAAAACCAGTTTCATTTAAAAAGAACAAAAACATTGAATTGATTAATTGTTTATTGCTGCTGCTCTCCCTGAATTTCCTTGCAAGTGTCAAATTGTAAGTGATTAAAATGGAAACTTCTTGGCTGTTAACTATTTAGAGAAAATATATCATAATTTCAGATAGTCCTTGTATTACGGAAGCTGCGGACAGACTACACAAATGTCTATGTAAATTTTACTCTATAATATGAAACAACCATTATAATTTATTTAGCTTTGATCAAAAGCAGTTGCATCAAGTTTTGGACGGTTCAAAAGCTGCTGAATTTTCTCAAGGTAAATCCGCTTCTTCAGCTACCTTTAAACTACTATGGAAACTCCCAAAACCATTTGAAACATGTAACAACGCTCTATCCCAGAAAGCAAACACCTCAAAAACATGGGGACAATAAGTTATGATCTAAGAGAGTACAGAATTGACAGAGAAAGGGCACATTTCCTTCACACTACAGAAAGGGTAATTTAACTCTTCATCTACGTCTACACTGAGAGAAAATTGATTTGCTCCGATGACTCAGTGATTGCTCTGAGGTGGGGTTGTGAAGCATGAACCATGATAGCACGGGAAACGGTTCAGCGGAGGCCAATATATGGCGGGATCTCTCATCCATGAACCACCATTGTTACCAACTATCCTAGGGACTTGAGGGGAAATTCAGGGAGAAACTGTCTCGATTTGTTATCACTGATATTTTGTACATAGTTTGTACGTGTTAATATACAGGGTGAGGCAGACCACCCGTATGCATACTTTTACGGGAGTACCTTTTCACCTAAAAACGTGAAATAAAATTATTTCCTACGATTATTCACCTACGAAGAATCCATATTTAAAATACTTAGATAACATGATTCAAGCAAAGGGTGTTTCAGAAATGGAGGTCACGGGTTCGAATCTCGAAACTTCCTGTCAACCTATATCTTTATTATAAACTTGTAGAAAGGGCTCGCTTAGAGCAACATTTTGGTGAAGACAGAACTAAATTATCTCAACTAGTTTCAAAATGGCGGGCATTTTTGTGAATGTTTCCTGTATTTATGTAATACCGGTACCCAGTATTTTCAAAACCGCTAAACATTTTAGCATATAAATTTAAGCGTCTTGTCAAGTCAAGTTGTCTTATGAACAACTTTCCAATTTACGTCTAGTGTCTATTTCTTTAAGTATTTGAGTAATAAACCAAAAACAAAATTTTCCCATACAAAATGCATGTTAATTGTACGTATTACCAAACAATACAGGTTTTTTTTTAGTTTTATGCTTGTAAAAGTAAAATGCATTTTATATGGGAAGGTTTAGTTTTTGGTTTATTACTCTTTAAAGGTCATGTATATTGTACAGTTAAAGCTTATATAGCTTTTCGGTAAAAAATGTCAAAAACCGTTCTTTCTGATTTGTGACTACAGCTTAAATTATTGTTAGATGACAGATGAGTTGGTAGTGAGTGTTATCATAGACTAATACATTGAAATTATAACTTAATTATAGATTTCTTTGTTTAAATCAAAATAATAAAACAGGAGTGTAATTAAAGTGAAGTGGCTTTAGACCTGAAAGTATACATGTTATCCTATTGTAAAATATCTTAACTTAATTTTAGAGAGGGTTTCATGTTAGTCTATATTTGAGTGTGCTGACAATAACAATAATAGGTACTGCGTATAAAGTTTTTTCTCTTATTTTGTAAATAGTGTAAAACTTAAATTTTTTGCTTAGAAGCCAACCAACCGTTTAAAAACGCACAAGCATTTGTAAATAAATTGAATTGTTTAGTATGATTCGTTAAATAAAAAAAAATCTTAAATAGTTTGGGAGAGGCAAATGTTATTAAATAAATTGTTTTATCTGGTTAAGATTTTAAAGCTAGAAAGATGTCAAGAAGTAATTAGGATACATAAAACGTACTCTACATAAAATCACAGAAAAAAAATGTACATTGTTTCAATGTAGGCCTATTCATAGAAACGTCATTTTATGACAATAACAGCATTGCGTTCTAATTTATGTCGCGGAGTTAAACGTAGCTCCTGCAAAAATAGTGATGCAATACAACTACTGTACTCAAATTGCCTACCCGACCCCTTCCACTTTACACGTTGACACAGAAAACATAGTACAGTATTATAGTATGGTTTCTGAGGTTCTGATCAAAGCAAATACAGTAATAATATAACAATATAACGAGTAAACAAGTTGTATGCGCTTGTTTTAAATAAATAAGATAAATTTAAAATACCGGACATAATCTGTTCTAAAATCAAATGAAATATCCAGCCACAAGAGTATCCGAAGGAACAAATTACCGTGCTGCAAAAGAAATCATTTGCCTTTTTTTTTATTATAAAATTTAAAAAGTCAACCAAATATAATGCTGTAAATTTTTTAATTAAAATTGTATTAGTTTCGACCCATTTATTTAGTTTACAAACAATTTTTTATTGGTAAAATAACACTTTAACAGTGTATATAATTATTTGTATACTGCAATAAATTCCGAAACCAATTCTCTACATTTTAGCTTGGTTTCAAGCAAACTGAGCTATTGTACAATGTGTGCCGAAAAACAGTATTGAAAATTAATAATATATAACGATTTCGTCACTGATTATTTTGGCACTTACTTTATAATTTCGAGAAACTTAGTTTTAGCTTGGATTTAACACGCATATTTAAAATCGTCAGATCGTCTGAAGACAATATTTGAGTATGTATTTCTTATTCTATGTCTGTGACCTATTTATTGTTTAAATATTTCTATAACTCTTAAAGCATTGGCACAAAAAACAACGATCTATTTGAAAGAAAAATATGTTCCTTGTCCTCTGATAAAATAGCTGAATAGAGTGGTAACTGTAGCCTATAATTTACTCTGGAATAAGGTATAAACCATTATTCGGCATAACCAAAATCAAATGTAACCCATGTGAAACCTTGTCAAAACAGGCTTTAAATTTAAAATTTCTTTAATTCGTTTTGACCCACCTTTTTACATACAACCGTTTTTGCATGGATACACAAAACACAAAACAAAACAACACAACACAAAACACAAAACATTGGATATCATTGCTTGTAAAATAGCTTAAGAAATTAATTATCTACAGTTTAGCTTGGTTTCAAGCACAATTAGCTGCTGTATAAGCTATTGATTTATTTATTCAGTTATTTAGATTGTTGTACTATACTTCGTTCACACTATTTAGGCGGTTTTATAGGAGGAGTACTATTCCCTCCACTTGACCTTTACCTTTAAAATAACAGCTCTACAGCTGTTTAAGCAACATAAATAAAATGCAAATAAATGGTTGGAGAACTTCCCCTCAAACTACCTAAATGTTGCTAACATTCTATAGGCTGTGGTATAGAGTTTAGAGTTGTAGATAAAACAAGTATTCAACTTTGCAACACGGTTTTGTCCGACTACACAGATTGTTACACAGTCCAATAAAGATAAGAGTGACAGCTCCAGCAGATGTAGAACGATAGGGAATTTCCCTCTTCACTTTCGGTCACGGCCCAAATGCTCCTCACTCTCTCCCGTCTCTCTCGTTCATTGTCAAGGTTCCCAATTGTAACAGTTGGTTTCCCTTTTGGTCTATTATGACCAGTCAAACTCCATTGTAGTTTCGCTTGAGCGGTGTCCGGTGGTTTGTTGGTTCAATGGATATAAAAAAATCTTTCACTTTTGTTTATAGTTCTGGCCAGCCTATGATGAACCAAAGATTGGGTCCGTGTCCAAAGCAGGGTATTTGTATTGATTATGTCAATGAATTGTTCACAAGTGCGGCGGCCCGCCCTTTAGGTTGACAACAACCGCTGTGTTTATACCATTTAGACTAAAGACATCTAATTAACAATACGATATTTTGGTTTGTTTCTGTTAATGTACTTCCACTAGTCAAGTAAATAAGTCAACGATTTACACATTTTATCCAATCTACATATTTGATTGTTGCAACAGAAAAATATGCAACAGAAAATATGTTAACAACGTTGACAAATTTTGGGTGAAATTTGGTATGATATTATCAGATACTTTAGGAGAAACCAAAACAATGCATTGTTTCTGTTATTTTTTCAGTATTACATACAATTACTTCTTCCTATTGGATTTTCTAGTCTCCTTTAGTGTGACATTAGCAGCAGTAGTTTAGGACCGCCGAACCGGTGAACAATGCCAGGCTTATAACGCAGACCCGACCATTGGTTCACCATAGGCTATCCATAACTACAACGCGTCTGTTATCATCGCAAAATGGCTACTAAACAGCTGATTTATTCCTTTACCACACCTGTTGTTTATAACATCTGTTATTGTTATTCTACGTGACTACGTGACAATAAGTGGGAGTACCAATCCGTCGTGACCCTGGCTGCGGTCCGTAACCGTGTTTACCCGTCCGTCCGTGACCGTGACGGCCACCCAACCGCGTCCGTAGCGACACTAGCGATACTAGAGGTGGTAGTGGGAACTACACTGGATAAAGGATGGCACTGTGGTTGCAGTGGGGTTGAAAAAAATGTAAATACTTCGTTAGGGATCAGCTGGAAGACAAACTATTTTACATGTTTTATTCTTTTCGGTTTGTGTCAAACATTTTGTTGGTTACTATTTCTTCTTATCTATTTAACCCGATGTACCAATCAATATAAGATATTGTCTTTCCTCTGTTGTTGCCACCTAAAAGTAAAGCACATCGGCAAATTTACCCTAAAATATGAAAATCAATTAAGTAAACATCAGGAATTCAAAAGTAACCGGACGAGACACGCATCAAAACGTGGTTCAGATTTGTACAATGATCAAAAGCCGCGAAAGAATAATTACCTTTTGAACCAAACAGTTACAACAGCTTGTTCATAATGAATAGGAATAATACGTCAAGTATCTAAAGTCAATCATAGTAACGAACTTAAAGAGAGTAGAAATTCATAGAAGGATTTTTCCTTGACATCTTTAGTCGATGTTGCGGTCGTATTTTTGCAACCCATTGTTGATTGTTCATCTCACTCGATTACATATTTCGATATAAGTGATACCGGATGAGGAACAACAATGAAAAGAATTAGCGATTCAAAAGGAATTATACGTTTTGGCTGGTTGAAGTGCAGTAACAGGTTATTCTTTATTATTTAGAGTTTTTCTTGGGCAGAATTTAGCACTGTGGATCCAAAAAGGCCATGTTTTGTCGTGAATATCCCTAAGAATCCGAAAACCAAAATAAAATTGTACACAAAATGCATACTAGAATGGTTTCAATGGTGGTTAACTATTAAGTTAACTATTAAGAGAGCGTACGGCGGTTTTATACTATTAACAAGTAATTATTCAACAAACTGAACAAAATCTAGGATACTTGCTTGACGATCAATATAACATTAGAGATTCAGCAGTGTTTCGAACACGCAAAAGGTAACATGTGAGTTGTAGAAACATCTGTATCAGTATAACGTTGCAACGGTCTTGACCTGTTTGTAGTTCAATGGTTTAAGTCATATTTTTACGTTTTTTCAGGTTTCATGTTAAGGAATCTTTGTACATTTCCTCAGGTTTGTATGAAACACGAGTCTCCACCTCTCACGACGTTAAATGACAAAAACTTACATCAACAATAATTAAATTGAGGATAGAATTAAATTAAGAAAAGAATCATATAAATTAGCACTATATATGACTACATAAATATGTTTATTATTTCATCGAAGTAAACGAATAAAGATAAGAAGACTAGATACGACAAAAAATATTCAAATCAAAGAAAAAATTATAAACTAAAAGTGTCATAGATTAGATGAATATATTACTACTGACATGTAAAACCAAAAGTTACATTTATAATACTAAATCTAGTAGAGATTTTTTACTTCAACATATTTCTTTTCTTAATAAACGGGCGAATACCCTAACAAACTGTGTATAAAGAGTGGTTTTCGCCGAGAGGGCAACGGCATGGAAATGACATTCGCGATACTGCGGTCAAACCACATCATTAACAAGGTTATATTGACCTCTGACCTCCAGGGAACTTTACCACAATCGGTAAATCTTGTAAGATGAAACCAACTTTGGCACAAAAAGTTGAAATATTTGGCGATAACATCGCAGTAAACATATTCATTTAAGATGGAAAACTTGTTGGGTTCAGAGCTGACCTTCAAGTCCTAGTGGTTTGTTATCAGATTTATTAAGAAGAAAACGGTTGTACTAAACATTCTAGTGTGAAGTTGTAAAAATGACGACTAACTAAACATGCCTCCTTATATATTTATGGAAAAGCAAAAGACAATTTTAAGGTTAGTTTTGCCCGGTTTGTGTAGAGGATGGTCTGTTCATTATTGTATTTTTTATTTGATATTTTAAACTAAACTACTATTGAACAAAACAATCAAATTATAAATCTAAGGGTTTGATATTGCAACCAAATGCACATCACAAATCGACAAATCGTGAAATCTAGCCTAAAATATAATGGAAATATTTGGCCGGTATCAGCGCACTCTAAGCTTACATAAAACAGGCTTCATAATTTTATAAAAGGGTGAGAAGTCTACTTACACTATTCTAAATCATGACTAATCATAGTTAAAACGATCTCGCCTGCTAGATCCAGTATAATTTTTATGTGCAATAACAACTAGGGTACTACTGTGTATTCTGGTCGCTTTTACCAGCGCAGCCTTTTTCACTGTCTTCGTTTCGTTAGTAAATTGAAATTCACAATATTAGTTGGCAGTTATATACAGTTTATGTTCAGTATTAAAATTCAACTTTACATTACAAATATACAGTATATGTATACTAGCCACCATACCTGTGCTTCGCAACAGGAAGAGAACGCTTAAGAGAATATTATTATTCCATATATCTGCTGTATGTAGATAAACTTTTAGTAATCCACTAAAAGTATTAACTTAAAATATTAACTGGTTACTTTTATTTCCCATACATTATTTTGTGGGAAATAAACCATACAAACAAATTCAATTTTTTTTTTATAAACATTTTGGAAAAAAGAAAGTCAATTATGTTAATGATGTTAGTGAAGTTAATGATTTACGCACTTAAAAATAAAACTCCTTATTCACATACTATCAAAAATTATTTATTAAATTAAAAACAAACATAACTGTAAACAATCCTACTTTGAGAGTTTATTTTGTATCACAGCTGCTTGGTTGAAATTAGCAACAACTGTATTGCTGCACCCTGTTGGCACATTTTGTAACCTATTGATGCTGCCTATCGATCATCACAGAATCAAATTGTTTGGCTTACACAGCTGTTAAGATTCTTTAATTCCATTTAAATATGAGTACTCATAAGGTAACTAGAGCCACTGGGCGGAGCCCTTTTGACGGATCTGCATCAAACTTCACATAAACCACCCTTGAATAATGCTTAGTAATGCCTGAAAGTTTCATTACAATCTGTCGAGCGGTTTCAGAGTCCATAACGTTTAAATATATATATACAAATTTCCTCTTTTATAAATATAGATATTTAGAACTAAGTAGTTTTACATTATTAGTGTGGGAACCGTTGGTGGCAGTTAGATTAATGCATCTGCAATACTAAAAGGCTATAGGAAGGGAGGAAAACAGGTTCACGTCGTAGGAAGTGGGGAAGGAAGTGGTAAAAGCGAGAAGTTCTGAGCGTGGGAACAGTTTGTGGCAGTTAGATTGATGTATATGCAATACTAAAATGCTGAGGGAGGGAAACAGGTCCACGTAGGTAGTGGCAATGGAAGTGGTAAAGGCAAGCAGTGCGGAGTGGAACCGTTTATGGGATTTAGATTCATTAGTTAGATAAACATATATTGGATTTTTGATAATTTTTATAATTTTTTATCAAAGTAGGATAGGTGGTACTAAAAAAAAAAAAAAAAAAATCGTAGGTGGAAGACCATTGTTGCGCCCACGTTCACTCATCCCGTTACGCGCAGAATAAGCGTACTTCTAGTCATAGTTAAAACGATCTCCATCGTTCATATCCTGATCAAACATTCAGAAAGTCAGCTGATATTTGTAAAATCTCGTATATGGTCAGCTGGCCTTTAGGACATTCCGGATTAAAATTCTGACTTTCGTTAAAGTTATTGTATAAAATCAGCTGATTGTTGAGATAAACATGTCCAAAGAACCTGCTGACATGGGTAGTCTATGATAAATAATTAATTGGTCTTACAAGCCTTGCAAAGTATGGGGTGGGAAAATTGTGTAATTGATCCTGGGTATAAGATTGGTTAGTTTTGACTATAATTCATTTATATTTTAATCTTTTGACTATCATTTTTATCATAAGAAATTAAAAAAAAATGTTTTTCTTATAGGTGAATTATTGTCGAATTGCGGCAGCCGATATCGTCTAAATGGTTATGCTTGAGGAAGACAAATGTCCTAAATATGCTGTAGGACATTGAACTAGTTAGATCATATCTGTTTGAAGTGTTTAAGTAGTCTGCTATACTATAAACGAATTAAAAAGTGAAATGTACTGAGAAGTATATACGGCGCGGCCTGACGATATATTTTACATCATAATATTTCCTGTCTTGAAAATGTTTGCAGTATGGTTGTAATCGAAACGTGTTGTCTACATATTTTTTACTGTATTTAACCACAAATTACCCTGATGTCGCAAGATTTACTCAGACACCGGCGTGGTGAACAATGCTTTCACACGTGAGTCCCACCCTTGAGAGGCTACATTAGCCGTGAGAATGGGGTATATATGACAAGTTTCTCACACGACACATCTGTCTTTCTCTCAAACATCATCACCAAGAGAAGGTCAAACAGTGCAAAACAGCTGACGAATCAATAACCAAAGCTAATCAGTGTCCGAGTCACTATATCACTATTGTGAGTAGAAGGAGACTAAAATATCAGCTGTTTTATTGTTTGATGCTGAACCTAACTGTTCTTGATTGATTGTTGGAATGTTAATAGATGGTTCTGGCTTGTACCAGTTGTTCTTAGTCAGTAAAAGCAACTATTTCATTAAATAAACACTCATCTTTTATCGATCCTCGCCTTAACATTCTCACTCAAAACAACATCAACAACAACAACAATGTATGAGATATGCAGCATTCTATTTTTACACGCTAAATTTATCATTCTGACCATGGGTGGGTGACAATGGAATGTATATGTTAAAACCCGTCAAAAAATGATTTTAACAACAACGTTGTTTGGATTTAAACACTATTTAGGTAAAAATGTCTTTTATTAAACCTTTTAATAAAACTTCAAGATGCCGCTTGAACTTTAAGATGCTTTAATTAAAACTTGTATTAAACCTCTCCGGATAGTAAGGTTTAAAGAGCAAGGTACAGCAACAACTTACTGTTTTATGAACACTATGACTATACCATCGTGTTGAAAACAACTAGATTAGTTTAAAGAACCTCTTTAGTCTTTCTAATTTTTGGACGACAAAACGTGATGCCTAAATTGTAAGCAGTTTGAAATTGAGTTGATTCATTTCCTTAAATTATATGAATTAATTTGAAACAAAACCATAGAAAACTCCAATGATTGTTCTAAGCTTTTTACACTTTTAAGGGATCCCTACCTCTAAACGTAGTCTTACGTCCACACTTTTAGATGTATTTTAAACAAAACAACAAAAACAAAACTGAACCAGTTAAAACCAATCTCATCCACTTAACTAAATTACCACATTTCTCAAACAAACATATCTATGTTTATTTAAACTATCCAAGAGTAGTGTCAAATTTCAGCTACGTACCCCGAAGCGGCTGCGGCGCGGCCCAACACACAACTGACGTTAGATGCGCCCTCTACTGCGTTATAATCGCACTTTCCCGTCGTCCTGCTTTCCCGGGCTTTTGCCGCTCTGGCGCGCCCAAACTGGCGGTTTAATTGTCACAGAGTGATTGTCGCATAGAGTAAGATAAGCTGATCTGGCACACCAGATGGGTGTAGCCAGAGCGTATCTAGTTGGACGAGGTTTATCTCGAATTTACGAAAGGGGAAATTATATATTTTAATCGAAGGACCACTATAGTTTGGTAGTTGGTGGTGGTAGCACTGGACTATAATCAAAAAGTCGTCTGAGAAAAGTCTGGAGCTTTTTGATGGTTCGTAACTGGACCCTACTGTCCTTGATTATTGCATCTTATAACATTCTGGCTGAAGAAACAAAAACAGTTGATCTTGAAAGTAACAAAGCTGCACGTCATATCATCCACTTTGTTCTACGGCTCTACCCCCACCCTGCTGAAAATGCCGCATAGTAGCATAGACAAATACAATAAATATAGACCGTCAGCGGTCCTGCGGTTATCATAGGTTCTGGCGTCCATCGCTGCGAGTGCCGTGTAGTTACGTATCTCGTGCGCCACAACTACACGGTGCTCCCAGTGGTGGACGCCAGAACTTATGATAACCACAACACTGCTGACGGTCTATATTTAATTCTATTTGTCTATCAGTAGCCAGCTTAAAATACCTACAGAAAGTGCGTTGTCTTAGTAGAGTCATAAACTAATAATGTAAGTAAAGTTTTTTGTTTTCTTTTATAGTTAACAACTATTTATGGACAATGCTAAAGATGACAAAACTGTTGACATTTATAGCCTAAGGCCAAGGCCACAAAAAATACAGGAGAGTTGTATCAAAGCAGTATAAGAACAAAGCGCATGATGGTGATTCTGTGGTAAATAAAAGCCGTTTTAGAACTATCTCTGTTTTCTCATACAAATACAAATAAAATATGCACCCTAATTCGAGACAGAACACCAAAAATATTATATTTTGAGCATTTATTCTAGTCTTCTATTTTCAAGCGTTTAGTTGTACTAGGTCAATGGGGGTAATAGTAGGTAATTATTTTAATTTTGATGAAGTAAGTGTAATAATTGAGTCTCTAGTTGTACACACTCTAGTCGATCACACTTTCAATTATACACAATGTACAGGGTTATTACAAATGATGTTCCTGATTTTGATTATAAATATTACTGGGTTAATTTGTTTCAAGACTATTTTAGTTGGTACCATTGGAAAGAAAAGCTCATAAAGTTTCATTTAGTTTATTTGGGTGCATATCAGCTGTTTGTCAAGTCAATTGTTGTAAGTGTTGTGTAATGGCTGAATTTGAAGGCAGGAACGCTTTTTGCCAGTTGGAATATTACATTAACCAACCTGTTATTAGTGTGGAACGACACTTTAGAACCAGGTTTAACGATTATCCTCCTAGTAACCACTATATTGGCAAGTGACACTTGAAATTTAAGAAAAAAGGGCTGCATTTGAATGCTACTTGAAGTAGGGCTGAACTTAACAATGTGCTGCTTGAGATATGGAACGAGCTCGGTGGTCCGAATAATGACACACCCCTGAACTGGCCTACAAGATCTCCGGACATCACCCCCTGATTTTTTTCTTGTGGGGATACATCAAAGATAAGGCGTACACACCACCATTATCAGATAGCATACTTGAGATCCAGCAACGGATTACCAATGCTATCGAAACAATAGACCTAGACACTTTTCAAAGTCTAGCAAGAGCTTGACTATATTATTGACATCCATCGTACCACAAGGGGTTCCGGTATCGAGCATTTACAGTTCTGTGTATCTGTGTCAAAACTTTTTGAGTTTTTCAAAAGTTGTAACCATATTATTTCTTGTATAACAAATAAAACTATATTTCATGTATGTATGAAATCATGAACATCATTTGTAATAACCCTGTATTCTGCCGCATCCTGCTCCCTACACTTGTACTCTCTACTCCATTCATGTCTTGACAATGGCACGTCTTCAAGGACTTCCAGTGACCCTGTTTTTAACAAAGCATGGTTCTGTCACCCTCAGGAAGCTTCTAAAATAAAAGACGCTGTCGAATTAATCAGTATGTTAAAACGAAATGCATCCATAGACAGTTAAAATAATACATCTTGTATTACTATACTGTTACTTTTACTATACAACCTCCCACCGTCGTCAACCCTGTTGTTCAACAACAGCAGAGGACAACACTTTCTACCATGTCATGGTGCGATCAATGGATCCACGGACAGCGAGAGTGATCACATGACGAACATCTGACGTTTGTAAACACCTGATTTCACCCGGTAACAGCTGATTTTGTGAAGTGTGTTACTCTAGTCGAAACAACTGGGTAAAACCTACTCCCTTTGTATATTTCAAATCCTTATTCAACCGCTGAAAGTTAGTTAGTCCTGTCCGGTGCACTGTAGGAGTCGTGATTTGTTTACAATTTGTTACTTGTTATTTAAGTCATTTAAAACCTCGTTTAGCCAAATAAAATTATAAACAATAACTTGTTCCCTAGTTATATAACCAAACAGTACAGCACATATCATGAAATCAACCCAAAAACAATAGAAACAAAATGTCATCGACCCTATTGATCGATCAGTGTCGCCGGACATGAACTTGACACGAAAAACGAGCTTCAACATTTACAATGGGATGAGAATTACCATGCATAGGCTACTAGTAAACTCCTAGTTTAATTTAACATCTAGTCACTTAAAATAGGGTGGAATTTCACTTTCCACTCGAACGCTTGTTGAATTGAGTCTTTTCCGATGTTTATGAGTCAAGTGAAGCAATCTATGGAGATGTAGCACAGAGACAGGGTCTTTTCTCTCTCTGGGTTTGAGGAAGAGTGGAAAAGCTATGGATACGAGAAGGAATCACGAAACAACACTCGGTCTAATGAAAGGTCTAATATCATTTTCTTCGCATGGACTTTTGCTCTATTCGGTCTCCCATTCTCGTCTAGTTTGATAAATTAGCATTTCTGTTTGTTTCTTCGTGAGAATGGTTCGAGCTATTCCTGAAATGTTTAAATTGTTTTTTTGATTAAGGTTGTACCCGTTAGGTAGTCAGAACATTTGGCAATGTATTTTCATATCACTCAATGAATTGTCATACCAAACAAAGAAAACAATTCAAGAATTTTTAGCGTTGGATACACCACAGTGAAATTTTCAAATGAGCGTTTTGTAACGTGCAAGAGGACAAGTTTCACCCCGGACCCGGAGACTTGGGCTTATAACTTTAAAGCTGAGAACGTTTCTTTGTGTTGTTAAACTTTACTTCTGTAACAGTATTGGTAAGCGATATCGTCTAAAGTATTTTTCCAGTTATTTTTATTGTTGTTTGGATGGAAAAATGGAAATTTTAAAAACAAATTCTTACGAAAACAAAGCGGTAATGGTATTCTAGAAGATCAAGTCGTTAGGACACAAACACACTACCAGCCCAACATAAATCGTTGAACTAAGGCAAATTACATAGCCTTTAACCAAGACTGCAAGAGGTATTACTGTATTGCACCGTACAAACAGAGGACCAATGTAGTTGAGCTCGAGTTTGAGATAGACTGTGACCGGCTTCGCCGATCAGAGTATTCTCCTGAAACTCATCTCACGACTTGTAAAAGACAATGGATTCGGGAGCGGAAGGAGAAAACGTGCGTGTGCGTGTCCGTGCATGTTCGTGCACGCCTGCCACGCGTCTGACATGTCAGGACCCCGTCCGATACGCATGGCTACATAGGAAAGTGGGTGCAAGGCCACGAAGCCGCTCTATTTGGCGCCAAATCGTACCACTGGGGCGGGAATTAGCTCGAATCACGTAGTTTAATCGTCAAATGGTTTGTAATTTCACAGACGATAAGTCAGGGTGGTAAATGGTGATCGTCGTCACGTGACGGTGTAATTTAGGAGAAATGGCGAGTAATGTGTTACCCTTGAGAGCAGTAACTTGACATCAGTGGTTACCAGGGCAATAGTTGACTATAGATATAGCCTAATACAATGCAAAAATCGATGGTAAGACGACAAACAACATCGTTGTTTTTGTTCCAGAGACCTTTCATTTGACTTAAAACATATTTTACTCGGTTTTTCGTAATTTTATAAATCAAACGCCATTATCGATATCATTTGGAGAAATTAATAAAAGTTAATAGCATATGAAGAACAGTACTTTTAAGAGGGGAGTTGTCTTGCCTCCTGAAACATAGAGTAGTTTAACATCCTAGGGATAGGAAAAGTCCTGCTACTTTACTTTCAAATCAAATAAGTATCTTTTGTAATAATAAACCTTAAAAACAAAGGAGGAATTTGAATTTTAAAATGGTCGTTTTAGATTGGATATTAGAGGAGGAAAATTTTAATGGCGGAAATAGTATTTGTTGCTTTTAAGAATGCAGTTTTGGACATCACTTTTAGCCTGTTAATTATTCTAACATGTTGAATTCCTATTTAAATACAAAGTCTAACAACAATTCTTTAAATTTAGGAACACGAACATATTCCGATTAACCCTCATACAACAACAGCCCTAACATTAATTAATCTAGAACTCTTTCCATAAACAGATTCAAAACCAATCACATTTTAATTTGAATAGTGCCGAACGAATTGCATGAATACAATTGAGGGTAACTGAATAAATAACAAGCACTCAGTGATCATGGAAATACTCATATATACCCTTAAAAATGTTTGATGACTGAAAAAAGTTACTTCGCCTGATTGGTTTCTGTTATTGAAAAACGTTTGAGTTGTTTTTTTACTAGGATACATTAACAGCATTTTGGGAACATACGTTTAAGCAGTCTTTTGTATTATTCACTCCTTACTCTCTTGTGCATTGATTGACGTTGGGTTTCAGAAAAATTAGCCAATTGTTTGTAAATAGCCAATGTTTAAAACATTGTTATAGTTGGCGAATCCAGCTAGAGCTCAATTCGTGAAGAGATTCAATT